CTATCATTTAAAACGCTTTAATACTAAAGTTGTACATTTGTAAAACAATACCGTGGTAATAGCTTTGCTTCTTTATTTTTTACCTTTGACCAGTGCACCCTCTGACCTCTGATTATGACCTCAATTTCACACAATAATTTAACCTAATTGCCCTTTAACATGGCAAAGATTTTTATTTCCATTCCAGTTAGCAGGAATATCCTATTCATAACATCTGTAGAAAACTTTATTTAGAGTATAAATCAGCATTGCGTGATTTCAATTTTTGTAAAACTGTGGAGAATCATAGAATGTTGGTAAATAAGAAACATCTGTACAAAAAGTATGAGTATAGGCTTAAAAGACAATACAAACGCTATGAAGGTAATATGTTAGATTTTTTAAAGAAATACAATCCCAAACAATTTTTTAGATATTTTTCCAAATGCAAAACTAAAAACAGTGCAAGTGATATAACGCTAGATCAGTTTTTTGATCATTTTAAAAACTTGAACAACTATGAGAATGACATAAACACATGAAATGAAAATGTCGAGTCTGATGTAAACGATGCTATTTTTGAGGAATTAGAAGTAGAAATTTCCGAAAATGAAATTATAAAAGCAATTGGTAAACTAAAACAAAATAAGAGCTGTGGTGAGGACCTTATCCTTAACGAGTTACTGATAGAATGTAAAAATTCATTATTACCCATCATAACAAAACTGTTCAACTCAATATTTAATTCAGGGTTTTTTCCTAGTGAATGGTCTAAGGGTTGTATAATACCAGTTTTTAAAAAGGGTGATCGTAATGATGCAAATAATTATAGAGGCATTACTTTAATTAGTTGTTTAGGTAAGCTATTCACTTCCATTTTAAATGCTAGGCTGCTAGAATGGGATAGTTTGAATAATGTCATTACAGACGCGCAGTTTGGATTTAAACCTGGAAATAGTACGTTTGATGCAATATTTGTACTACAAACATTAGTTAATAAATTTTTGCAGAAAAAGGGTGGCCGACTATATTGCTGTTTTATAGATTATCGAAAAGCATTTGATCTAATTGATAGAGCTAAAATGTGGTGTAAATTAGTTAAACAAGGTATAACAGGCAAAATGTTCAATATTATTAAATCATTATATGCTAGTGTGAAATCATGTGTGAAGTTCAATGGTATGCTGTCGGAGTATTTTGAAAATAATGTGGGCTTACTGCAGGGGGAGGTTTTATCACCTCTATTGTTTTCATTATATGTTAATGATTGTGAGATGCATTTTTTAGAAAACAATTGTCCTTATGTTGAACTGCAGTTAATTTCCATTTTTCTATTGATGTATGCAGATGATATGGTACTTATTGCAGACTCTCCAATGTCACTTCAAACATTATTGAATGAATTAAGTACTTATAATAAGAAATAGGGTCTTGAAGTTAATACAGATAAAACCAAAATTTTAGTTTTTAGAAATGGTAGAAGTTTACGAAATGAAGAAAAATGGGTTTACAATGGAAAAGAACTTGAAATAGTAGATAGATTCAGTTATTTAGGAATGTGTTTCAATTATAATGGTAAATTTAATATAACTCAAAAGCACGTAGCGGAACAGGGAAGAAAAGCATTTTATGCGTTGAACAAAAAATTCTGCAACTTTGATTTTAATGTCGAAACTCAAATATCACTTTTTGAAATGTATGTATGTAGTATTCTTAATTATGGAGCAGAGGTGTGGGGATTTCATAAAGCTCCAGATGTAGAAAAAATACAAAGTCTCTTTTGTAAAAAGTTACTTCGTTTAAAAAAAAGTGCCTGTAACAATCTTGTGTATTTCGAACTTGGAAGAATGCCTATGAGGGAATCTAGAAAATTGAAAATTATAAAATATTTTTTGAAACTAAAGAGGACACAAAATATTCTACTAAAATCATGCTTGGAAGAAAGATTAAGGAATAATGATAGTTGGATCAGAGATATTCAAAATGAACTTAATAAACTGGGACTTGGCTATATATTTGATGCAGATTTCAATGATAATACTTACATGTTAGTAAAACAAAGATTCCATGAGGTGAATAACCATACTATGATTTCTAATATTTGTAGCAATGCCCGTAGCCCGCTATACCAACATTTGGTTGATAATTTTGGTATACAATATTACTTGCTTAAACCTATTAATTATATGTACAAAATACAAATTGCTAGAATTAGATTATCTGCACATAATCTAAATGTTGAAACTGGTAGATATGTTAATGAAATTAGAAAAAACAGATTATGTAAAATGTGCTCTTTGAATGTTATCGAAGACGAATTTCATTTTATTTTACAATGTCCTTTTTATCATGACCTTAGATCTAAGTATTTGAAAAAGTATTATTATAAGAAATCCAGTGTTTGGAAATTAATTCAACTTCTAAGTGTACAAAATATAAAGGAACTTTGTAACCTTGGAAAATATTTATATCAAACTTCCACTAGAAGAATGAAACATTTGTAAATTTTTAAGTATTTTATAATTACAGTTGCCTGTTAGAAAACACGTCCTACATAGCTCACTTGCTATTTATTGATTATGCTCTGCACTCTCATAATGTTGTTATATTTTACAATATTGTATATATGTTTAGTTATTAATATATGTAATCTGATGTGTCGTATGACGCAAAGAAATAAAGAACTTGAACTTGAAAAAAAAAACATCAAAGGTTAGAGCTGGTAACAACAACAAGAGAGACAGGCTAAAAACAATACGCTTCCTGTCAAAAAACACAAAAATGGGCAATAAAATAAGCTTACCTAAGTCTTAATGCACCTGATGTAAGCCAAGATCTACAGTATGTATATCAATAGATTGTAAACAATTCACATGGTGACCGTCAGAAACATGCTTGTGACATAACTTGTCACAAAATTTACAGCACACTTTCACATATAGCTGCTGTCAATTTGGAATATTTAATTAGCTGCACATTTCTCCAGGGCATTAGTTTTATGAAGGTATAACACTCCCAGTATAACAATAGTGAATTAATGCAAGATTGATATGATGAACAGTTACTATTAAAAAAAAATATGATTTTACTATTAAAAACTTAAAAATAGTACTGAGTAAAATTACTAAAAGAAAAAAATCAATTTAAAACCCTCACTGTGACTGAACACTACAATTTACCAAACAAGCAAAGAGCTGCCTGGAGACACAAGTAAATATATAGAATTCAATTATAATTGCGCACTTATGGCATATTCTGCATGCAAGCTTAAAACAATTTGCAGAGTATCAGTCTAAACAATCCTTACTCTAGCTAACTGTTCATAATAATTAATTATTTGAATTAAAATGAAACCATTTGCTATTTATTTAAACCATTCATAGATGCATAAAGACACAACTCAAGTTTTGAACCCTATCTTTACTTTTCTTGGTTTATCATTTATTGAAATATGATTATTGCACATAATTTAATGGCAATTTGTTCCATTTAATCACTTAATTAAATCTGTGTAAAGTTAACATGTGTAACTAAATATGAAAAGTAACATGCTTTTTTACCTGCAGGAAAATAAGTTTTGATAAATGAAATGAAAAAAAAATTTAACCACATTGCCATGCTTCAGTATAAATGATTTACCGTACAATCAGATACCTTTTAAACCTTCACAGATGACAATTGTGTGTTGAAAATAATCACACATCCAAGACGAAAAATTCTGACCTATTAGCTGAGCCCAGTAAATTTCCAATATAAAGACAAAAGCATAGAATTACCACATATATATACAGAGGTTATATATATATACTGCTGTTGAATTGGGTATCATGTAGATTCTGCTACTTATCACCATTATACGAAAGTATTTACACCCCATCAGACCTTATTTCCCACTATGTGTGCATCACACCAAGTCTTAACTGCAGGGAGACTCAGGAATGGTGATAAACCACCAACACTGTTATCTATTGGGGCATATTGCAATTAACTACTCATTAATTTGTCTCCTAATTTAGATTTTTATGTGGACAAGATTAGGCTTTTAAAGGATAATTGACTCTCTTGCGTTTGGAAGCTTAGTTTCATGTTTACAAGGAAAATTAATTTAAAATCAATATTTTCATTATACACTAGCTATTTTGGTAATTTACTTGACACAAACTTTATTCATATAACAGCTGTATAAGAAGTTAAAACCTGTGACCCATTTTCCTTGACTTCTTTGTAATCAATCTAAACTGTGAAACAATATACAAAATGCTTACTATAAAAATCACTTAATTTCATGGGGTCCAATTTTCATGGTTTGAGGGTAAAATATTGGTTCATGTAGTCAAGATTTGATTTCATGGTTCAAGAAATGTTGAGTCCTTATATATTTAAAATATTACATTTGAAGGACAAGAATTTGTGGGTCTCCTCATATCACTAAAACAACAAATATTAACCCCCCCCCCTCCCCCTGAAAATTAGTGATGTCACAATTAATATACTACAAAATGTGTAATAAGCACCTGTTCCATCTAAGATACGTAGAGCTGCCATGATGTTAGTATAGTAGTAAAATGTATATAAAATCTACTGACAGTGTATATGATTATACTACCATACTAAAATACTGGATAAATAGAAAAAAAATCATTTATAATTATATGTATAATGACAGTGTATATGTATTTACTTAAATGGATAAATGGAAAACATGTAATTTTCAATGCAAGTACATGTATTAATTCTTGAGTAATTGGTAAAATAAGGCAAATAGGGAACTGGAAAAACTTCCCTACCCATAACCCAAATCTCTAATATAGTAATTGCACCCCCCCCCCCCCCCCCAAAAAAAATTAACCTGTACATTATAGCCTGACAAAATTAAAATTACTATACGTCAATACATTATCTAGACAAATTTTGTAACATGCAATTTATGAACTGACAGAAACAGGCAACACCAAAATTAGAAGTAAATAAATGTCCTGATTACTTGACATAGATCTATCATTTATTATTTTTCCACTCAC